GATTGACCCTAAATACAGCTAAGGACCCCTGATCCTGGTGAGGATTCCTGCTGGCTGATCCTGGTGAGGATTCCTGCTGAATCAATGGGTCCTCAATGGATTCCTTTCTTCTATTCCTTTCCTTTATAGATTCTTATACTAAAGGAAAAATCTCTACCAATACTAAACAGTTGAAAACAGTCTTTTTTTCTATTCGAGGTCTTTCAGGGGGGGGGGCCCCCTTACAAATCAGAGGTGGACATTATAAGCAATATGATAAGACAAGAAGTCCAAAAGTTATAAGCACGAACACCGGGATATTCATGTATAATTGCCAACCCAGCAAAATTCGGACTTGAGGCAGCAATCTACTCGGAGGTAGGCCAGTAGGTTGTCATGGTCAGCTCTACAGGGCCGGTTGGTCAGCTCAGGCATGGACAGCTTGCGCACCCGCTGGCATTGTGGTTGGCACCTGTGAAAATGCAAGAACATGAATTGGTCAAGAACGCGGTGTTCTTGAGCTCCGTGACCCGATATGAGTCCAAGGCATGTTTTCACGCCGTATGGCTGCGTCCCATCTCCTTCTCCACACTGTGGGTCACGCTAGCAGTGCACATCATTTGATTTGTGATGTGTCATGATGTGTCACACACGCCCTTGGAACCCATGAACAAGGCCAGGGATGAAAAGTAGGTGGGGCCCAACACCACGGCTCCTCAACCCACTTTCAAACCCAAAGGCCCCCAAGACTTGCATGGGTTTCTGTACTTTCTTCACCTCAAACCCAAAGGCCTCCCACCGTCCGTCCGTACCTCAGCTGCTGCCGCTGCCATCGCCAGCGTGTAGTCTCGCATGGACTGACCTCGTCGCCGAGAACGAACGGATCGGTCGGAGCTGCTCAGGCTCAGCCGTGCATGACCCGTTATTTATTGATACTACTGGTAACAAGTACCTCGCGAGTAGTAACAGGTGCCTCACTAGTAGTAACAAAAAGCTGTTAGAATTTAAGTTAAATTTAAGTTAAATTAATAGCTTCTTTGTTACTACTAGTAAGGCACTTGTTACTAGAAGCGATGCACTTGTTTCTACTAGAACCCGTTGGTTGTTTGAGAACCGTCCGCCACCTGGAAGCTTAAAAAGACCGTAGACTGTAGACTGTGGGGGGCCTGTTTTGCGGCACAGGATTTAAAGAGAAAACCCGTCCAATATTGCATTTATTAACCAAAGTTGTTTGGGTATTAGCTGTAAATAGAACTGAGACATGACTGAGCTACGCAACAGTTCTTGCATCTTCCCTTCTGCCATCGATATGCCCATCCCCACTTCCAGGCCCCTCACCTCCAGGTGCTGGCTGCAGGTGCGGCATCTGCTCTGCAATCACCTGTGCCCAGCCAGGCCGGGCCCCAAACCACCACCCCACCGCTGACTTCGGCCTCCGCGAGCCCAACGGAACCCGAGCTTCGGCCGCCAGAAAGGGCGGCGGTGCCGAAGCAAGGGTGCTTCAATCATGTTTTCTGGGAGTTCGCTCGTTTGGGTGCCCATTGGTGCCCTTGGTTCGGCCCGACTCCACGAGTGGAGTGACCGAACATCACCTCACCCGAAAGATCAAACAAGTCCAGACTTGGGCCAGTGGGGACGCCAGCTTCTCGGCCTTCTTAATGGTCGCCAGGTTTTCGGCCGAGTTCTCTTGCTCTACCTGACGGCGCGAGTGAGGGGCAGTTCGGAAGGAATGAGGCGTGGGAGCCTTGTGGAGCCTCCCAAACTATTGATTCTAGTCATTCCCGTCTCCTAAACAGAAGCTCTTGCAGGTCCCTCCCTTTTGGGACCAGGTCGTTGACCATGTCGTTCGGTGGTTCATGTTCGCAGTTGCCAATAATTATAAGCGCCAATGCCGTAGCCGAGAGCCACCAGACCAAGATTTCAGCTGCAAAAAGACTGTGCAACATGTATGCGCCCTGGTCCTGTCCCATAAGAAGGTCACTTCAAAAACTAACAGGAAAAAAGGAATGGTGAGCGAAAATTTTGGCCCATCGGTCATATAGACGGTTGAGAAAAAGGTTCAAGCCCATATGGTGAGAGGTTTTACAATCCAATCTGAGGCTTAGGAGGCCTTTCTTTAGATCATGAAAACCAGTACTTAGATGTCAATTAGATCCATGGCTCCACAGCCAGGCAGAAAAAATGCATGGCAGCCCAACAAAGGGTCATGAAAACCATCTATCTTCCATGTCCCCAGTGGCTGGATCCTTTCGCCGGTCGGGGGCCCCCAACCGGGGTCGCATCGCCGGTCACCTTGACCTCGGTGATTGGGCAAAGCGGTCGGTGATGTTGATGTCAGTGAAATCGAAGGAACATGAAGGAACGAACATCGAACTCCACTCACAGATTCACGACCCAAAAAATATATATAGATGACATGCAGTAGTAGAACTCTGTGGCTATTGCTCAGCCATCTGAGGGTCAGAGGCTGCTAGCTAAAAAAGTGCCTCACCAACAAACCAAAAAAGGAAAACAATGAGACTCCGCTGAGACTCCTCTGAGACTCCTGCTTTTCCCAATCCAGCCGGCAACCCCCAACCCTTGCAGCCACACCTGAGGCCGGAGCGTTTCGTGCCTGGGGGCGGCCTCCCTCCACGACGAGGTCGAACAGCACGGGCTCGCCGGGCAGCAAACCTGACCGCCGACGGCCAGTTCGATGAAAACCTACAACGCCAGTTCGATGCGTTAGACACTTCACCTGCACCGAAAGCTCTGTTCAGAAGCTGTGGTTCGTTGGACTTCAACCGCCTTAGCTATATCCTATAGTTGAAGTTCAACCACCCACTCCATGTCTCTCCGCGAAATCAGCCCTCAGCCCCCAAGAAAAAGAAACAAAAAAAACACCTGTCACACACGGAACTCGGTTTCCGCGTTTGGTTTCCCACCTATACGACCAATGAGGTGGGAGTTGTAGACAAAGACGTCCCGTGGGAACTCCGGGACCATGATGAAGCCAAAACCTCGGCACGCCACGCACGGAAGCAGCGCTTTTCGCGCTCCCAAGGCCGAGGAGGAGAAGCCGGCCTGGTTGGGCCCCTGGGTGGCTGCGGGACCAATACTAATATATACTAGCCGTTACCAACCTAGAATCAATTTGACCTCTGTGATCTGTGCTGATAGGAAGAGACCATGTTTTGGCTTCAATGCAGGGGTCACTCGGGTTCTCGGAACAGTTTACTAAGACTTGCCGTTTACAGAAAACGATGCGAGGCCGTCACAGTTGACAATGGCTGGTCCCACACTGGTGGTCTCAAGATTTGGAAGGCATCTGCATAGCTGGTCAAGGGGCGGTCCCCTTTTAAGAAGCTTTCAACTAGAAAACTTGCCACTGGCCGTCACTGGCCCACCTCTCCTCCATGTGTGCAAGATCCACATAATTCTGAGGTCTTGCCTCTTGTCACTCATGCACAGTTGGAGCAATCTACTTAACAGTACGTGTCACGATGATCTTCCGCAGAAAAAATGAACAAAAAGCACGGCCTCTGCCAGCACCGCCACGTCTCCACACGATGTCCACTCCGCTCAGGCACCGGGCCCTTCCGGGTGTTGTAGCTCTTCACACGTCCCATCACCCGCTGCCCCCTTGGTACATCGGATCGACCTTCGGCGACTGAGAAGCAAAGAAGTGCCTGCCGGAGGCTTCACCAAAATGACACTCTCTTTTGGGCAATTTGGCAAACCACCACCCCAGCCCGCCCAGCCAGGGCCCCCCGGCGAGGCCGCCGGCATCCGGCCAGCCGGCGCGCCGGGTGCTGCCGGCCGCGCG